TAAGTTCTTCTTAACTATTGGATTAAGAAGATTTTGCACAGAAAAATATGTCATGACTTTTCCAATGACCTATAGTTATAATCCCTTATACTATTCTGCAATTCTCCTAGAATAACTATTTCCATGTCTTACTGTCACCAAGATCCCTTAGAATGCTTCTACTATCTTCCCATCAAAATATGAAAACAGGAAGGAGACTAATTCCTCAGGAGAAAAGTATCATGCCCTTATATTAAATTCCTGCTCTAAAAAGGAAAATGTAGTTTTGTCTGGGGACAGGACAGCATAATTCGACTTGTGACAAACTGAGGAAGACAAAGGAAGCCTGAACTAGTGCCTACCATAGTATAATGTGGCAGAGTTAAGATGCCTTGGGCAAGAACTGGGCTTCTCTCCCACCAAAAAGAAAGAGAAGTACTTTTCTTATGTTTTCGATTAAGAGGAAGTGCCAGACCAGGAGAGCTACAAAGCATCTGTAGGAAGGACACAGGAAGAAGGAAGTTGCTTCATACAGGGAGGAGCTGGTGCTTCAGGCTTTCTTTACGCAGTCTCCTTGTCTCACTTATTCTAAAAGTAATCTGGTTATCACTCCCCTCTTATCCAGGTAGAAACTGGTAATTTAGATATTTAGTCAGCTGGTACCCAAGATCTAAGCCTCTGTAAGATTCTCCACCTTAAAACAAGTGACACTGATGCCAGCAGGTGGCATGGTGGTGAAGGTGCTGATTTCCCCATGGCCAACCACAGTTCAAGTCCTTGACCTGGTGGCTTGCTTTCTTGCAGTGAAAATCAAAGGAATTGTTTCAGCCTCAGAAATAAAACACTGTTACTACAGAATGTTAGAAAGATTAATTAGTTCCCTTAGATACATTTTATTCCACATAGTTTAATAATAATACCTATTTATGCTCTTTAAATCAGAAATACTGACCTCAGAAAAGTTTTTTAAGCTTTAGATATTTCCAAAATAACATATATAAAGCTTATAGCCTAAAGTGCTGAAAAAAAAATGAATTTGCCAAGGGGTCAGCAGGTGGCATGGTCGTAAAGGAACTGGACTCACACATGGCCAACCATGGTTTAAGTCCCAGACCCAGTGGCTTAAAAGTCATGGCAGGAGTATGTGCGTGCATGCCCAAACTTCCAGGAGGAAATGGGTAAGAATGGATTATGGCATGGCCATCTGCTCTGAGGGTGGGGGGTGGGTGAGTTCTTGCTTTTCCTCTCTCTATTTCTCTATGTTTGTGGCAAGCTCACATGCTCTATGACAAAACAAAACAAAACCCAAAAAACTAATATACCAAATGTAGAATTTCAAACTAAAATTTGCTATTCCTGGTCTGCCCTAAAAAGAGCACAGGAGTGCATGCCTGCTGTCATAGCTACCCAGGAGACTGAGGCAGGAAAGTCATGACATAGCAGGTCACTGTCTAAAACACTGCATGCACGTGCGTGCATACACACACACACACACACACACACACACACACACTACCAAAAAAGTAAAATTTACTAATCATAAATGAACACAACACAACTTTTATCCTGACTCATACTATTCCATTCTTGATGAAAGTTTTAAACAAAGTAGTCCTTTGGCTCCACTGGGGATCCATATGCATTAATTTAAAGTCTTTAGAAAACAATGTAGTAAGCAACAATGACTTATTCATGATACTAAAGATGTTCTCTAGAAAACATTATACCCTTGCTTTAGTATAAGGGATTCTTAATAAATGATAGAGGATCTGAAAGAATTTTACAAAAATAAGTCATGTTGTATACTTAATTTAAGCAACCACAAGTATTTACAGATCATTTAAAAGGGATACACAGAGGTTGACTTCCTTAAGGTCATAAGAAAAAGCTTAGTCACAATGTTCAATATTCTGTACAATGTGACTGAACTGTGTTTCCAAAATGAAGTCAGTTTTTGATAGAATTTTTAAGTGTATACGTGACGAACATGGTTGAGAGTGGCTTTGCATGGCCTGGGTCATCCTGACCTAGCAATACAAGCAATCCAGACAATTTTTATGGTTTTCTGGCTGTACTATCAGAGCGGAGCTACTCCAACCACTTGTTGACATTTTAAAGAAAGTCCAGTAGTCATAAATGGACTGGGGCTGACAATAAGTAAGAGAAAATGGCTTGAGTTGCCATGCTGAGTTGGTGTGGTGTCATGGAAATATCACTGAATCGGGAATATGGAGACCTGCGCTTGGTCTGTAGCTCTGCAACCCACCCCTCAGGAAGGGTGGCTGAGTGGATGACAGGGCAGCAACCCAGCTACACCACAGCAATGCAGGAATAAAACCAGCTTGGGTAACACAAGAAAGGATGCTCAGGTTAAGTAAAAATATCTCTCATATGTTTTATATGAATATATGTGATCACAGGGGATCAACAAACATAAACTGTAGAAATGGAAGGAAAAAATTGCAGTTAACGACAAAGAAAAAAGATGATATAATAAGTAGCAAGAAGAAGTAAAGTACAATGGTCAATATTTTTAAAGAATTAGAAAGATTGTCAGAGTTGAAAAGGAAAAATATTACAGAACAGAACCAAAAATCAGCATTACCAAGAAAAGACTATGATAGAAATCCCAAAAATTGTCTGGATTAAGCAAAATCTAGAACATAGGCCCAATCCCATAGCCTAGTAGTTAAAGGAGCTAAATATCCCATGTGCTTAAAAGGTTGGAGTCCTGGCCGTGATGGCTTGAAAAATATGCTGGGCATGTGTACAAACATGATCAAAATCCTAACGGGACAGAGAAGTGGAAGAGAAGGGATTTGGACCATGCCCGTTGGGGAATGTTTTCTCCCTCTTTCTGTCACTTTACCTTCCCCTAGAAAACAAACAGGCCCTCCAGCAATTAAAAACAAAAATTTAAGGAACTAGCAGATGGTGCAATGGTTATGTTGCAGGACTACTAGGTAGTTGACCATGGTTCTAGTCCTAGACTCAAGTGGGTTTAAACTCATGCCAGGCGCATGTGGATATGTGCCCAAAATCCCAAGAGGAGAATGGAGAAGGAGAGATTGCAGCAAAGCCATCCCCCAATGGGGGTTGAGTTTTCACTTTCTGTCTTTCTGTCTCTCTCTCTGTCTCTCCAGGGAGCACACGCACCCTACAGCAAAAATCTCTATATATTAAAAAAAAAAAAAAAACTGGACTAGTAAAAAAAAAAAGACATAAAAAGCATTAAAAAAAGACATATATACATGTACAACCTGAGATTCACAGAAGTACCTGAGATAACAGAAAAGATCAAACTACAAAGTAAGTTAAATAAACGACTGCAGAGCTGGCCCCATGTTCAGTGGTTAGGCACTGTACAGAAGCAGCAGGATCCCACATGGCTGATGAGGGTTTGCATCGCAATCCTATCAGTTCCATGCTGAGCTCGTGCTGCATGCCCAGGATCCCAACAGGATAAAAAACTGGAAGAAAAAGAATTGTGGTGTGTCCAAGTCCTATTGAGGAGTGCTTTCTCTCTCCCTCTCTTTCTTTCAGGCATGTGTATGCTCTCTACCATGAATAAAAATAAATAAACTTAAAAAAAGAAGATGTGAATGGAATAGTAGACAGAGAGATGAGGGAAGGGCTATGGGATGACGGCACAAATTGTAAATGAGGCTATTGTGTACTGCACCCAGGAATAAGAACTCAAAATTCCTACTCTAAAAGCAAAGATAGGCTATCAATAATAAAAACAAAACAAAACAAAGCACCTGAGAAGAACTAGGTACAATGGTTTCTGATATCAGCCCTTGGGAGAAAAAAGGGCTTTTAAAAAATCATGCAAAATGGTAAAAAAAAAAAAAAAAAAAAAAAAAAGGCAAGGAAAACAGTAGTTAGTGCAGTGCGTACTGGACTCCCACGTAGTCGACCACGGTTCACATCCCGGACCCGATGGCTTAAAACTCACTCCAGGTGCGTGTGCATGCATGCCCATGATCCCAAGAGGAGAATGGAGGAGAATGGATTGCGGCGTGGCCATCCCCCCTTGGGGGTGATTTCTCGCTTTCTGTCTCTATGTCTCTCTCTGTCTGGTGAACACACGTGCCCTATAGCGAAAAAATCTCTCAAAAATAAAAAAAAAAGGCTAACAACAGTTAAGTACCTATCAAGAAGGATTTCTCTTTGAAGAGACTAGAACACTTAAATTTATGACTTAAAGAAATCTTTCAATGAAAACCTACAGCTAATAGATAATATATATATAAAATATGTAGGTAAACAATAAAATGTCTCAATTATTAGACTGAATGCCCACATCTCTTCTTATTGTCCATAAGGATTGCTTAGCTGTAAAAATGTTTTAAAATTCCTATTTCCTGGGCCAGCAGATGGCATAGCGGTTACATCACTGGACTCCCAAATGGCCAGCAATGGTTTTGAGTCTTGGACCTTCTGGCTTGAAAATACCACCACCCGTGTGTGTGTGAGCATGCTCAAAATCCCAAGAGGAGAATGGGAAAGAAGGGATTGTGGTATGTCCATCCCTCCTGGGGAGATGATTTCTCACTTGTCCCTTCACTGTGTCTGTCTCTCTGTCAGGCAAATGCATGCACCTTAAGGCAAAATCTTCTCAAGGAAAAACAAATCTCTTTCATAACTGTTATATAAAATTCTTGTCCTTTAGCACTGTTCTCATGATTATCACATGATCTTCCTCAACACACCTAGACTATAAAGCTAGTTCAGGCTTCATAGTCACCAGAAGCCTTAGATTTAATTTCTCATTTCTTTTTCCTATCAACATGTACTTTTAGTTTTAGTTCTAGGCCTCCAAGAGGCAAATATAAAAGGCTTTAATACTATTACACACTATAATACATGTATAGTTTTATTATGAAGAGAACTAAACAAAGTGCTGCTATTTTAATGCAGGACTAGGGTTCATATAGTTTAGTATAATTTCAAGCACCTGGTTGACCAACAGTTCAAAATATACACGAATGTAGGACAAATACGTGCATAATACTCACTTCAACAGTCTCAACTTTTCCTTCATGGGGATGTGGTGTTCTTGGGTAGATATCAAGAAGATGTGGTGGTGAGTCAAAATGTAATCTTTTGAGATTTCGTTTATTAAGATCTTTACAATGCAATTCATCAAAATTTGTCCTCCATAATAAGACCTATAAAAAAGTCAATAATAACAAAGTTATTAACTTGCATATACAAGCAGTATAGCTCATTTTTAAAAATAAATATATACAATAATAAATTTTTTTTAAAAAAGAATATATCTTATTATCTTAAAATCTTTTTGTTTTCAAAGCCTAAAATCAAGCTTTTGGCTTGATCGTTCATTTTATTTAATAAATCTCGCTATAAATGACTTTTAGTCCTTTCAACTATATGCAGATTTTCTACCTAAATGACTTTTTAAATTTTTATTTATTATTATCATTATTATTTTAAATTGATATAGGGCACATGTGCTCATGAGACAGAGAAAGGGAAAATGAGGAAGCAAGCTGCCAGGCCCAAGTCTTGAACCGTGATCAGTCATGTGAGAGTCCAGTGCCTTAACCACCACAGCACCTGGCCCCATCCCACTACATAAATTATTTATATTGGGTTGTCAGGAAAGTCATGACATATATTTCTGTTTTTCTATGCAAAAGTACATCATGACTTTACTGACAGCACAATATTTACCATCTTCAAGAAATTTAACATTTCAAAAAACAAGACATTCAAAGACCAGGCAATAATTCATGCAAAAGTGCTGTATACACTTACTGAAAGTGGACATTCATAAGTGGCAGTTACATGTAGAGTTAAATATACAAATGAACGACAGAAAATAACTGCTATCTGAGTTATAAAAATGTATCAGAGCTGGTATTGTTTCAGTTATGAGATGACAGACTTCCTGGTACTAAATTAAAATGTAAACTCACTGGCAATCATCTTAGCATACAAAAATTAATTGGCTATAAAAATCTTAGCCGAGGTCAACGATTCCTTTATAGATTCAACTCCCCACTTCAAAGGGGAGTTGATAGATTTACAAACCTGTGTGTCTGCACCTCCTGATGAAAACAGTTCTCCGCCTTTTGAAAATGAAACTGTATAGACAGGCCCCTAAGAAATAAAGAGAGAGAACACAAAAAAGTCCATGGTGATGCTTTCTCATGGCCAAGAGAATTGTGTGTGCCAACTTCTCACCCTAATTTATGTAGACTACTTGTGCACCAAGCCCGATAGGACACGCACAGCTGTAATGGCATACATTAGCAGAGTAAAGATGATCAAAGAAGCATCCCAATTATATTAAAACACAAATAAGCAATACTACACTTTAAAACAATACTAAAAATGAATAAGGAAATAAACTTTTGTCCTTTAAAGAAAGAATATTCATATGTAAGTGGATAAGAATTTCTCGTAGAATTCTCTGGCTTTGAACTCTGTATTGCACCAATCACTAGCAGAAATAGAAATGATAAACATATAATGACAGAAATGAGGCTATATAAACAAAAGTCATTTCCTGACCGGGACAGGCTTCACTGAGTTTTCCTTTCCTGTAGGCAACAGAGAACCAAGGAAATTTAGATAGGAGAACTGTGACTGATGAAAATCAGTATCACAGTGTGAGAATGACGAATTGGAGCAGGGATGAATGACTGGAGGCAAGACGGGAAGTTACTGTGCTTAAGGGGAGTTGATAGATTTACAAACCTGTGTGTCTGCACCTCCTGATGAAAACAGTTCTCCGCCTTTTGAAAATGAAACTGTATAGACAGGCCCCTAAGAAATAAAGAGAGAGAACACAAAAAAGTCCATGGTGATGCTTTCTCATGGCCAAGAGAATTGTGTGTGCCAACTTCTCACCCTAATTTATGTAGACTACTTGTGCACCAAGCCCGATAGGACACGCACAGCTGTAATGGCATACATTAGCAGAGTAAAGATGATCAAAGAAGCATCCCAATTATATTAAAACACAAATAAGCAATACTACACTTTAAAACAATACTAAAAATGAATAAGGAAATAAACTTTTGTCCTTTAAAGAAAGAATATTCATATGTAAGTGGATAAGAATTTCTCGTAGAATTCTCTGGCTTTGAACTCTGTATTGCACCAATCACTAGCAGAAATAGAAATGATAAACATATAATGACAGAAATGAGGCTATATAAACAAAAGTCATTTCCTGACCGGGACAGGCTTCACTGAGTTTTCCTTTCCTGTAGGCAACAGAGAACCAAGGAAATTTAGATAGGAGAACTGTGACTGATGAAAATCAGTATCACAGTGTGAGAATGACGAATTGGAGCCGGAATGAATGACTGGAGGCCAGTCGGGAAGTTACTGTACTTATCCAGGAGAGAGCTAATGAGGACATAAAGTTGAGCAATGGCTATGGAGCCGGACAAGGGTGCACCTGGTGCGGATGCAAGAACATAGCCTCCAGGTCAATTTTGCAGTTAAGAGTAATAATTTTTCCATCTATAAATTATTACTATATTCTGTTTGGCTTTATTTTTTATTTATGCTTTATTTTAAAAGTTTTTGACACAGAGTGCATGCAGTTGCTAGAGAGAGACAGAGAGAAACAGTGGAAAGTGATAGAGAAAGTATGAAATCACCACCCAGGGGGATGGCCACACTACAATCCCTTAGCCTCCATTCTCCTGGGATTTGGGGCACACAGGCACAAGTGCCCAGAGTGATTCTCAAGCAATGGGGTCTGGGACTCCAACCACAGTCAGCCACTGAAGAAGCAGTGATGAAATAGTTACCCGAAGGATGAGAGTCCAGCACCTTAACCACCTGCTAGCTCCGCCTGGCAGAGAGACACAGAGACAGTGAAAGTGAGAGGGAAAGTGAGATATCAACCCCACAAGGAGGCATGACCATGCCACAATCCCTTCTCCATTTTCCTCCTGGGACCTTGGGGGCACAAACACACACACACACATACACACACATGGTATAAGTTTTAAGCCACCAGGTTTGGGATGCAATCCATGGTCGGTCATGTGGGGATCCAACATGTAACCACTATGCCATCTGATGGCCCCAATATATTCTTAATTTATATTAAAAAAATATTTAGGGAAAATCATCTTGTATTTTTCCAAATAGACCATCTCACAGAGAGAGGTTATTAGAGGTTCATAAACACCTTCACCAGAAGATGTTGAAAACTTCCATCCATATGTATAATGATTTTCTCCTAAAATATTGTGTTTATCTTTCTTCCTATTATTTGTACTTCTTTCATGGATATTTTAGTTCTTGGCCACTTTCATTGGTTGTGTTTACTCAGCCTAAATCCATGGGTATGTATACAACTTTGCTCGTTAATGTCTATTTCTGCTTCATACCAATACAACTACAGGAAAAAATGAGAAAGCAAAGCAGAAAGTCAGGCAGGATATATGAAAGCAGAAAGAATGCTCTCTCATAGATGCCAGAGCCTATTCTGTGTCTAGATATAAAAGGCTTGTATTCAGTTAAAAGAGAGTACCTAGTACCTATAAAAACAACAAAAAAGAGAATGCATTCTAAGAAATTTAGATAAATTTTAATATTTACCCAGAAGGAAAGAATAGTTCATACAGTTAAAAAAAATTATCTTTAGGGGCCAGTAGGTGGCATGATGGTTAGGGGTGCTGGATTCTCACATGGCTGACAGTGGTTTGGCTTGCTTTCTTGCTTTCCCTTTCTCCCTCTGGTCAAATTAAAAAATAATAACAAATGGAATTAAATAATTAATTAAATGAAAAATTTAAAAATTATCTTTAATGAATTATATGCTGGGTAAACTGTCTTTGAACAAGCTCAACAAATAGCATCCCTGCTTGTTCCTCAATTGGTTTCAAACCTACTGAGAAATAAGACAATGGGGGAAGGCATTTGAGAGCCAAAATATCACCTTGAACTGATAAACGCTTGTAAAAAGAGAATGGGACTTTTATCTGTAAGGCAAATGGACTTTCCAGAACCAATGCCCAGAATGAGTCAGGTCTGGCTACCCAAGCTACAGGCAACATTCACAAGGGCAGGTCTCCCCACAAGTATCAAAGAAAAAGAGTGATGACAGGCTCACTCCCAAGGGCAAGAGAGTAGAAGTTAGGGCTATGTTTGCCAATTTCTCCTTCTAAAGTCACCAGTCATATTAGTGAAAGGCATGAGAGAGTTCTTGAGGGGCTAAGAGTGCCAGAGCTATGGGACAGCATTTTCAGGAGGGCAAAGATCAGAAGCAGAAAATAAACTTGCACATCACCACTTTACCACTCACCTAGTACTAAATATGGACAAAGACAGCAGCAGAGGATTCACTTAATGGCCATTGAAAGATATACATGGATTTTTGACAAGACTTGCAATTATTATTTTTAAGAGTTACTTACAGAGGATAAAAATATAGTCTTGAAAGTAAAAAAAAAAAAAAATTTGTGACAGTAGCAATGTGTGCTATACCTGGAAAAATAATAAAGGCATATAATGAAATGGAACAAAAACTTAAAATATGTATTATTTAAGAAGCAAAAATCTTAGTTGAATACCGTATGTCCTTGAAGTGTATATATGAGCCTTCCTTCTAAAAGATCCAGAATCTTAAGCGTACCGTCTGAAGAAGCAGTGATGAGATAGTTACCCGAAGGATGGAATGATATACAATTTACTCCGCCGCTGTGAACTGGTTTGTAGAAAATGAATGCAAAAGTTCAGAGAACGAGTCTTAATTATAAGGATGCTCCTGTGCCTTACTGGCAATATTAGGTTGAAAACACAAATCAGTTATAGCAATGTCTGTAATTCTATATAGCTCGCTAAAACAATAAAGTGTCGTATTTTGGTAATCATACAGTTAGTGAGACAGAATAGCTTTAAAAATAAGACCGTGTCATGGAAAGATCATCTTACTGACCACCTAAATATAGTCTTTGGATATATTACAATATAACCAACCACTGATTATTACCAGCTCGTTTGTAAGGTATATAACCTAGCCTCACATTAAATTTAATAACCAACTAGTTGTCTGGGATTGAGGGATGATATGGAGATACATTTGGAGAAGGGCACAGTCCTGCCATTATGCTTGGGAATTCATTTCTGGACACTATCCTCCCAATAGGGGGCAGTATACAGCAGTGATCAAACATGCCCTCTGAAAGCAGCAAGCCCCAAGCCAGTGCTATCAATTATCTGAGCAAGTTGTTTTACCCTCTTTAAGCCTCAATTTCCTTATCTTTAAAATGGAAGTAATAATGACCTCTTAGAAATATTGTTAGGATTCAGCACAATATCTGCTACATGATAAACACATGAATAAATGACTATTATTGCACTCAGGTATAATAATAATGTGGATTTAATATAAATCCAGTATAAACCAATGTAATCTCTCCTTAGGCTTCAACACATATGACAGTAACGAGTTGTTTCCTATGAGTTATAACACCTACTTATGCTCACACAATTCCTTGTAATTTAGAATTCAAAGTCAATTCCTATCATGTCTATCCCTGACTTATCATACAACACAGATAACCAATGTTTGAGAATCTCTCAGTAACTCGTTTTTACAGTTCTAACACCATTTTTAAGTCCCTTCACCATCCTTTCCCTCCAGCTTTCACACCCTGCCAATGATGGGAACTAACAATACTGATCCCTAACTAGGTCAAGGGTGGCACGTGACTTCAGTTAAAGGGGTCAACCCACACCAAGAACAACTGGTTCTTCCCAAAGAAGCCCATTCAATAACTGAATATTGTTGTTATGAAAATTGTTACCTTGATAATGCTGGAGTAATTTGTTCACTCTTATATCCCAGATTTTCACCGTATGATCAGATCCGGCTGAAGCTATGCATGTACCACTAGGGTTAAAAGCCACGAAATTTGCAAATCTAGGAAGAAAGGATAAGATGGTCTAATATTTTGAGATTTCTTTACTCTCACTTCTTTATTTAAATTGTAATAATTCAGTGTGTCTTTAGCAAACTAATTCACATAAACACACAAAAAGTAGACTTACCCTACGGAATCTGAGAAGTTATTAACACACTGCTTATTTGTTGTATCCCAAATTTTAATGGTTTTATCTTCACTACATGATACAATTAGTCTGCCATCGGGTGAAAATCTAGAAAACAGAAAGAAAATTCTATTAATATTTGTGAAAGGGGAGACCAGCAGTTGGCGTAATGGCTATGTCGCTGGACTCCCATGTAGTAGACCACGGTTCGAGTCCCGGACCCGGTGGCTTTAACTCACACCAGGCGCATGTGCACATGTGCCCAAGATCCCGAGAGGAGAATGGAGGAGAAGAGATTGCGGCATGGCCATCCCCCCTTGGGGGGTGATTTCTCATTTTCTGTCTCTCTGTCTCTCTCTGTCTTTCTGGCAAGCGCACATGCCCTATAGCAAAACAAACAAACAAACAAAAACCAGAAAACCAAAAACATTAGCATTTAGTCTGTAACAACACCCTATCATCTAAAAAATGTTTTAAAAAAAGTATTTGTGAAAGGTTCCAACGATCATCACTCCCACCTTCATATACCACATACCATCAGGCTGTACACATACATTTTTTTAAACATTTACCTAGTTACTTTGAGCAAGAGACAGAGACACACAGATACAGAGAGAGAGCACACCCCCAACAGGGTCCTGACACAGGGCTCTACCCCATTTTCAGCCAGCTCTGGATGATGGGCATGCGTGTGCCCAACAAACTCAGAAAGGTCTCTGGATTTGAATCAGGAACCCTTCCATGTTAAACGCCTTATAGAGTATTATGTTTTACTGCTATGTTACTGCCTGGCCCCTAGGCTGTACATATTAAATAGCAGAGACCACTGCAGTCATACCATGCTGCAAAATCATATCCTACAACTGACAGCTTTCCTACTAAATATCAGCGTGACTAACAACACTGAAAAACCATTCACAGATCAAAATATGTTACATAAACTGAATATGTTCTTTCTTTCCATTCAGTTAATTTAGTTTTGTGGCCAGCCAGTGGAAGATCCCAACTCTGCGTCCTCAGGCCTCCCTCTACATGTCAGATGTCCATGCGTGTGCCTGTGATCTGGGCGGGTTGATGCTGGGGGGTGGATTATGGCTTGAAGACTCTGTTGGGAGTGCATGTCTCTCTCTCTCACTCATAGAATAGTCAAGTAAATACTTTTTTAAAAAACTTAAAAAAGAGGGTGGGTCCTATAGCTCAGCAGTTAAGGGAGCTGGATCCCACAGGGCCAACTATGGTTTGAATCCTGAGGCTGGAGGCTTAAAACCATGCCAGGCACATGTGTGTGCATATCCAAAATGCTGATGGGAAGGAAGAATGGAGGAAAAAGGATTGCAGCATGACCACGTCCAACCGGGGGTGCTTGCTCTCTTGCTCTCTTTGTCTCTCTCTCTATCTTGTAAGTACATCTAAGAGTAAAAAAGTATTTTTAATTATTTTTTAAAAACAACTTATAAAAGGGTAAGCCACCTAGCACAGCAGTTAAACAACGTACAGAGTAAGTCAGATTCCTCACGGCATGGCTGACCAGGACTTGAGTACCAGTCCTGGTGGCTTGAGAAACATACTAGATGTATGTATGTATGTACTCAGGATAGTGACAGAATAGAGAATTAGAAGGAAAAATATTGCAGTGTATGACTAGGCCCCTTTTTCAGGGGAAGGATGCTTTTTTTTTTTTATCTTTCTAGTGTACATGTGTTCTCTTAAAAAAAAAAAAAAAACTTACGAACAATTTAGCTTGGGGTCAGCAGGTGGCATGGAGATTAAGGCACTGGATCCCACATGGCAGATTAGGTGGTTTGAGTTTCGGATCCAATGACTTGAAAATCATACTAGTGTGTGTGTGTGTGTGTGTGTGTGTCCCAATCCCAAGTGGGGAATGAAGGAGAAGGGATTGTGGTGTGGCTATCTCCACACTGGGGTGGGGGGGGTGATTTCTCACTTTTCCTTTTATCTGTCTCTCTTTCTCTCTGGCATGTGCATCCATCCTATAGAAAAAAAAATTAGTTTTACAGCATCTACTCTAAGTTTTACATTCAATTCTGTACTCTTCAGTCTGAGTACTTTGTATTTTTTTTTTTGAGAGATTTTCACTGTAGGGCGCGTGCGCTGGCCAGACAGACAGAGAGAGACATAGAGACAGAAAGCGAGAAATCACCCCCCAGGGGGGATGGTCACGCCGCAATCCCTTCTCCTCCATTCTCCTCTCGGGATCTT